TCGCCATCACCTCCCTGTTCTCCAAAACAATGGAGTCTTTTTAACTGCCAGCTCATGAGGTACTTTGATGATCACCAGCTGATTAGTGATCGCCAATACGGTTTTCGCCGTGGTCGGTCAGCTAGTGATCATCTGGTCTACCTAACTCACAGACGGGCGGAGGCAGTCTAGTTCAGTTTAACCCCCAGAAGACACAAGTTTGCGCGTTAACCGCTAAAAAGAACCCCCTTGTCGTATCTCCTCAAGGCACTCCCCTTGTTGCCTCAGCCAGTATCGGAATCCTCGGCGTCGCCATATCGAGTGACGTGCAGTTTCGTGGTCACTTAGAAGAGAAGGCCGAATTGGCCTCTAAAAAGCTTGGCGTGCTCAGCAGAGCGGGACAGCATTTCATGCCGGCACACCGCCTGCAACTTTACAAGGCGCAGATTCGGCCGCACATGGAATACTGTTCCCATCTCTGGGCTGGGGCTCCCCAGTACCAGCTACTTCCACTTGACCGCATCCAGCGCAGAGCGGCTCGAATCGTCGACGACCGAGTGCTTTCCGATCGGCTCTATTGACTGGCGCTGCGAAGCGATGTTGCATCTCTTTGCATTTTCTTTCGCATATGCCATGGGGAGTGCTCTGGAGAATTGTTCGCATTAATCCTAGCCGCCAATTTTCGTGAATGCACTACGCGGCAAACATCCCGGTACCATCAACACCATCTGGATGCTTGGCGGTCCACCACAGTACGTTTCAAAAGACGTTTTCTTCCGCGTACTACCTTTCTGTGGAATAGTTACCACCGTCGATTTTTCCGGACCGATATGACCTGTGGAACTTCAAGAAAAGAGCTTACTCCTTTCTAAAGGGCCGGCAACGTACCTGCGATTCCCCTGGTGTTACGGTTGATCATGGGCGGCGGTAGTCACTTAACATCAGGTGAGCCGCATGCTCGTTTGCCCCCTCTTCTATAAAATAAGAAACATTAAAATGACAAGATAAATATACATAAATATCAATAAAATACAAAAAATACATAAATAAATAAAGGTGGTTCCAGATGGAAGCCCTCGGTAGGGATGACCAAACGGCTGAGGGTTAGGAAGAAAGGGAAAGAAACCGGCGGACGATATCGAGGAGCACCGACTTCTGTATTTGAGCCCGGAGCGGTCCGTCACGGAGTCCCAGTCGCCTCAGATGACCCGAGAGGCTGACTGGGATTAGCCCATTCGTAGAGACGACTACCGGAATAATTTCGGCCGGCAGACTACCCCACATGTCGGTCACCTCGTGAACCAGGTCCAAATATTTTGTTCGTTTATCTGTTTCGGCTTTTACGAGGTTCTCCTCATACGGATTGGTAATGTCGACCAAAAATATCCTTGACTGTGCCGGGTCCATCAGCACAATATCAGGCTTATTCGCAAGAATAGTCCTGTCTGTGATGATGGCCCGGTCCCAGTAGAGCCTGGCGCGGTCATTTTCGAGCACAGCTTCCGGCAAGTACTTGTAATACGGCAATTTCCGGTCCACGAGACCGTATTTCAGAGCGAGCTCCTGGTGTAGAAGTCTGGCTACTAGGTTGTGCCTGTGCAAGTATTCAGAGTTAGAAAGCGCCGAACAACCGGAGATGACATGCCTAAGTGACTCCCCGGGATGCCGACAAGCTCGACAAACGTCGACGGTGCCATCTTTAGAATGTATCTCCGATAGTTGTTGGTCTTAATAACCTGATCCTGTATTGCACAAACAAAACCCTCTGTTTCCCCGAAAAGGTCACCGAAGCATAGCCAGTTGAGGGAGGCGACTGTATCTACGAAGGGCTCATGTACAGCCCTGTAGTACCTCCCGTGGAGCTACGGTCTCCCGGTCGGAAATGCTTTCTACTGCCGGGTCCTGCCATTGCTCGTTGGCTAAGGATAGAGGGGTAAGCCCTTTATCACTAGAAAAGACGTCATTATAGAATGGATCATCTGATCTCGCCAGGAAGTAATTACGGAGGCTGCACATTTCGCGATTATGCATGGTGAGCGCGATCAGGAATTCACGCCCACCATGCTTTCGCGGCAAGTACAGCCTCATTACAGACGATCTCCGATGATGCATCCTATGGGACGTCATGGTAGTGCGGACTTTTCTATCCAGGGCGTTAAGTTCAGTCCGAGTCCACCTGAGTATGCCAAAGGTATACATGAGGACAGACATGACCCAGCCGTTATATGCGTGTGTCTCATTCACACCGGACAAAAGGCTGTTAAGCACTTTGGTCAAGCGTGCATAAAACACGTCGCAAATTGTTTCATACCAGCCTCATCGATACCGATGTTCTGTGACATACCCAGGTATCGGCACGTTTCAGCCTCGGAAAGGGTCCTTAAGTTGACGGGCATAGATAAGTCTATGCCCTCAGAGTTAGCAACCCTTCCCCTTTCAACATGGAGGACCGCACACTTATCCGTGCCCAGCTCCATTCAAATAGAATTAAATTTACAAGTGATGTCCAACAATGCACGGCCGCTAAGTTCGTTTCCATGCAAATCCTTAACTTTAACGTGCGCGGTACCAGGAAGAACAGTAGAGGGAACGCGTGCAATTTCTTTAACGTTTGACAGCGAGCACAAAGTAACGTCGCCCGAGCACGCGTGCGGCGATGCCAAGAGATTCGACTCCACTGTTGATAAGGCGTTTGCGTCGGCGCCGGTGGGCGGAGCGTCAATCACAGGTTTGCTCAACGTGGATGAGGCATTATTTTCAAAATGCAGCATGGCATGATGTCTACGCTATGGGGACGCTTATGTCACACTGAACTAGAATTACAATTAGAAACACGATGCTTCTTACTCAAACAATTTAAACACAAGTTGTTGCGCCTGCACAAATATATAAATTACCATGTTGATGAGTTTTATGTAAGAAACAGGCGTTGTGCGAAAATGAAGGTGCAGTGTTCACTTATGCTAGCGATTTCGTTGGCTTCGACGGTGCATCCATTCGACGGTCGGCGTATTTTTTTATTTCTTGTTTTGCATTATTTTTTTTTTGGTTTCGCACGAAAGATGGTAATGTCGGAGCCACAATTTTCCATTTCGAACGAACACGTACGGTATCCGGGTCTAGCCTTTTTAACGCAATGTGTAAAAATACAAAGTCAATAAGATAATTAAATTCAAGATTTTTGAGAGTGGCTACCGACGTTGCGAATCTATCTGAAAATTGTTCGAGATCATGAATATTTGCGGACGATATAGCGATCGAATGTTTGCTCTAAATATAAAGAAGCCAACACTCGTTTATATTCGTATTTCGTATTTATTTTTTAGAGATTCGAAAATAGTTGTCCGCGGTAGGTGTGAGACCGGCACTCAATCACAGATTGCGCCTTGCCACTTAGTTTGCCAATTAAGTAATATAATTTTGCAGCATCCGATAAAGAGTGATTATTATGTATAGTATTATGAAAATGCAATCTGTCAACGCAGTGGCATTTTATCAGACTTATTGCATTTTATTGATTGTTCTTGTAGAAATCTGCCAGACGAGAGGCAACAAATTTTCAAAGGCGTGTTGTTGTATTGCCCCTCGGGAATTGAATTTTTTCCCGCCAAAAAGTTATCAAAATTCTGTAAAAAGTAGAAGTCTGTAGAGGCGCAAGGTCTTGCGAGTACGCCGGATGACGGAGAGCTTCCAACCCAGCTCTTGTATGTTGTGATCAGTTCTTCGCGGAACACTTCTGCAATAATACTCATCCCGTTTGGTAAGCTGCTATGTATCCACATCGGTGATAGACCATCATTTTTCTAGGGATAAGTTTTCGTTTAGGGCATTGTTTAGGTGCTGAACCAGGATTCAACCAACTATGAGAGTTTGCGATTGTCAAACAGTATCCATTTTTTGTCGCAAGTAACAATGCAGTTCAAAATTCCTTCGTTTGTGTGCCTGTTTAGCAGTGCAAGGCACGTTTCGACGCGTACTTCGCGCTGGCGATCATCGAGTTCGTTGGGCACCCATTTGTCAAGCATTTTTCTCTTGTCAATTTGACGCAAATGAACCAATATTGGGTGCGTTTGGCAGAAAAAAGTGCTTTAGCTTATTTAATTTTTTTTTTGAAGTAGAGTTTATAGTTGTTTTGTGCAATATTAGTTTTAAGTAATATAATGACATGAATAAACATATACATGCTATTTAAACTCATGATTGGTAGTTTTTAATATGAATACTTTACAATATTTTAGATCCTTTGGAATTTTGGTTTTTTCTGCCGAACTCACCCATTGTTTTGATGCTTATGTAGAAAGCAGCTGCTAATTCAGCTGTAGATTGGGTATTATCAGCTTCCACAATAGTCTTTAATTTGTCATTGTCGACCAGTTTTCGGACGACCACGGTTTCATTTTTCAAGTAGAAATTTCCAGAACGTAAGCGAGCAAACCAATACCAAGCAAACAAAATGGTGCGTTCGTTTGACGTCGTTAATTATGCGTGCCGCATTGCTACCACGACGATGCTCATATTCCAAAATTAAAATTCTTAGCCAAACAGAAATTATTTTGATTTGAAATGGCCAGTACTGCAGAATTATACAGAACCTATTATTACGGCGTTTTAGAGCGATCGCGTAAATTTTGACTTGCAGATATTTGAATATACGCTCTTAAAAGTAATGAATGACAGTTTAAATAAAAACAGTTTTAATATGAAACAAATTTTTAAAACATGTCAATTTTCTTTTCGACTAGTATTCGAATAATATCAGTCAGGACCAAAAGGTAAAAAAACACAAGCATATGACAGCATATTGTTTAAATGTATTTTGGAGTAACTATTTACATTCCCATATCCAATACATGAAAATACTCATTTGACCTCTTTAAATAGAGATCTGACTTTGGGATATTATCCGGATAATAACCAGTTTACTGACATGAACAAAAACTACATGTTAATGTCAAGCCAGTACAGATAACACGGCGACTTATAACCTAGGAACATTTAAAAGTAATCTTCTGACCAATTGTTTACATTGTCAGCTCCTGTAAACAATAAAAATGTGTGAATTAAAAGGTACTCCAATGATATAAATAATATTTAAGGCAAAATATAGTATTATGCCTTAACGAGAATTTGAAAATAAAATTATTTTATTGCAATAATTGTTACAATTAACTTGTGTCTGTTTTTTGCATTTTTTAACCCTTCAATTCCCATAAAATTCCCATGCAGTCGCATGCGCAAATCCCGAGCAGTCCGCGACCGCACCCACCCACAGCACTTAAAACTTATATTTAGAGACTACTTTTCTATAAAGAAGTTTGGCATTATAAAATCTATACATAAGTCACTATCTTGTGGTCTAAACAAAAGACAAAGTTTTACTTCATTATAAAAAGATTTTATTGTATTTTGCTAACAAAAAAAATATTACCAAGCGGATGTCGGGAGCGTGGAAATCACAATTATTTCTTCTATATATTACTCGAAATTATTTACGTAAAAAGATAAATTATATCCACACAAATACTTTTATAATAATTTTATAATAAAACACTGTAGTAAAACACTAATAAAACACTGGAAAAATTCAAAAATCAACACAAAAAGCATCCAAATGAAAATGGCGTACGTAATGAACGTAGAATATAAATTAATATCCATGGACTGTTTATTTATTCCACTACAGGATAGAAAATTTTATATTGATTCTATAATGCTAAACTGCTTCATAGAAAAGTAGTCTCTAAATATAAGTTTCGATGGGTTAAAGTGCTGTGGGTGGGTGCGGTCATATTTGACCGCTTGAATTTTGACAGAATATCTAAGCAGTCAAATACGGCCGCTTGGTGTTTGAGAGGTTAACATAACAATAAATTTTGTTATAATTGTTCATTGCTGTAAAAATTCTAGGCATCATTGTGGCATCCCTTAAGTGACGCCTATGTTCAACAGTGGACTTATGATGGGCTGCAATGATATTGATCATGTACTGGGAATTTTCTGATAACTTTTAGCAATGATCAGCTCTACAATGTGCGAAAAAAAATAACAACATATTTTTATATTGATAAGGTAAAAAAAATTGTATAAATTTTAGACAATAAGTAACACAAACCATAATAGCATTAACAATATCCGATTGATTATTGCGTAATGCTCGTACAGCCTTTGCCCGTGAGACATTTGCTTGAGACATTACAATCTCCACATCTTTTTCATCGACCCCAGATTCATCTACTCCTTCTTCATCCTCTTCTTCTGCTATTGGAGCTACTGTCTGTTTAAAGTTAAAAGAAAATATTAGCTTTAATCAAATAACATAAAATTAATTAAACAACAGTTATTTTAAGAGGATGCCAAACTGGCCTCTAAAAAGCTTGGCATGCTCAGCAGGCGGTATGCGGCAGATGTGTATTTCATGTCGGCATACCGCCTGCAACTTTACAAGGCGCAGGTTCAACCGCACATGGAATACTGTTCCCATCTCTGGGCTGGGGCTCCCCAGTGCCAGCTCCTTCCATTTGATCGTATCCAGCGGAGAGTTGTTCGAATCGTCGGCGACAGAGCTCTTTCCAATCAGCTTGACTCACTGTCACTGCGAAGAGATGTTGCATCTCTGCATATTTTATCGCATTTACCATGGGGAGTGCTCTGAGGAATTGTTCTCACAATTCCACCATCGCACATCTCGACAAGACTTGCGATATGGTGCATACCATCAGGATGACTATCCACCACGGTGCAATTTAAAAGAAGTTTTCTTCCTCGCACAACTTCCTGGTGGAATAGACTACCACCAGAGATCTTTCCGGACAGATAAGACCTACGGGACCTTCAAGAAAAGAGCCTACTTCTTTTTAAAAAGCTGGCAACGCATCTGCAATTCCCCTGGTGTTGCAGTTGTTCATTGGCGGTGATAATCACTTACCATCAGGTGAGCCGTAGGCTTCTTTGCCCTCTCCTTCCCCATCCCATCAAAAAAACGCCCAGACAATGCCCTAATTAGTCATCATTTATGCCCGCGACATACAGATAGCACTGTCAAACTAAGATTTTACTTCGCATTGCACACTATTTTTAAGAGTAATATGATGACAAAAAGTAAAACAGCCTATATACACTCCTCTGCTGAGCACAGGCATCCTCTCACATCTGAGAGAGATTTATATTAAAAAAATCAGGAAGTAGGTAGTAGCAGCATCTTCCTGAGAACACTACAGTTTTAAAAATAATACTGTGATTACCTATCTGCCTGCCTGCCTGCCAAGAATGCTTGGAATATACCCCGACAAGCAATCAATGGGGCAGGTTTATATGTTCAGCAGTGGACTTTGATAGATTGTTATGATGATGATGACACAATTAGTTTCAGAAGTATATAAGGGGTGTTGTAAGAGGTGACAAGAGGGTAACTGACACAGGAGACTATCAGCCATATCTTTCCGATAACTCAAAATAAAACTTCAATTCTCAATCAAAATCCCCCTAGGAGGCAATCTAAATATGCCATTATTAGTAGTGTAGTATTATAGGCTGTAATGGATAGATGGATAGATTATAATATAACATTTACAAAAATACTACTTTTATAAAAAGAAAAAAAAGGCAAATAATAAATACTTAAAAACCACTTTTATATTATAATACTACTATAGATGCAGTTCCTTCACACTTTTTTTAAATATAAATTATTTTTCCTAAACAATAAGGGTGACAAACGAGTACACAGTCCACCTGATACCTTGGCCTATAGACATCTACATTTATCTTCAATTAAGAATCAAAATGCAGATGCATTACCAGCCCTGAGGGCTGAGATGGAGTGAGTCATTTCCAGTAAAAAGGGTCTCCGGTTCTCTACACTCACCATACGAAACAGCAGCATTAAGCTGCTATTTTACACTGGTACTGCCGTGAGAGCATGGTCTTACCCCGGTCGAGCCAATATTATACAAATATTATGCAGAAAAAAATTAAATGTTTAGGACATAAACCAAGAAGAAAAGGAATATAAGAAAAAAACAAGTTTTAATATGGACAAATGAGAAAAAAAAACATTTAATATGCTAATATGACACTAAGAATTTTGTAAAATAAAGGAACAGCCCAAATGCCTTACACTAATTATCACAGTTCCCTCATTTCTGAGAGGGTGATGAATTAGCCTGATGCACTGCTCTAATGGGTGTTCATGGACTTAACATGTCCTTGAAATATTTTGTTCTTATAAATATGCAAGTTTGCTCACAATGTTTTGCCTCATCACTGAGCATGTGGTTAACCAGCACTTATCAACCAAAGAATCAAGCCTGGGTTTCTTGTGTACTGTGATATTTACAGCAATCACATATCCTTTCAGCTACCACAACTCTATTAATTTATGCTATTATATTTATATTATATATAAATATATATGAGAGGGACAAGCAGTGCCAGAGTCATGGCGATCAGAAAGAACTCAGTTTTAGTTGCCCTTAATCCTTGACTTAGTTCAACAAAGACTTGACTTAGAACACAAATTCATGCAACAACATGTTTCTGAGAAATGATAACACCATGGTAAATAAATCATCACCAGTGCCGTCATCTGAATTACAATGATTGCTATTGGGTTTTTTTTATTATTCTAAGCCAGAGCTTAACTACAATCCTGCCCGCTGACTTAACAAAAACCTATTCACTCTTGCCTTGAAGACACCCACACTGTAATGAGATGGAAAGGTTTGCAATATATTGTTAATATGCAGAAGGAACAAGGTAGGCCAAGTCAAAGCATGGACTTTCTACCATGACCTTAATGCTCCAATCTAAGAGGAAACTGGTGATCCAATCGCATAATTTCTCAGGAAGCCCATAAGATGGAAGCTAATTTGCACATACTGAAATCCATTGTATCCATCAAGTTTTGAATAATTATGTATTGGCAAATGATTATTTAATAATGTTTGTTTATAATATCAGCCATTAAATAAAAATTGTCACTTAAAAATGGACTATCCATAAAAATACAGACTTAATCCTCAATTTGCACATATTAAGAGCCCCCAGTATTGATTTGGGGATTCTAATTGAGGACTTTTTAAAGCCTATTCAACATTATTTAATTAAAAATATCCGATTAATTTATGAGGCAGTAGTTTCTGAAAATAACCTGGACTTACAGTGCCAGCAGCAGTAGCATCATTACCAGAAGCAGCACTTTCAGGAGCTTTGAATCGTTCAGCTGCTGCCATAGTTGCTTGCTGTGACAAATCTTCAATCTTGGCTTCACCAAATACAATGTAAGTATCAGAGTGAGGGTTCTTGTACACATCTGGGGAGTTGATCACAAACAGGATATTCTTTGATTTTCTGATTGTCACCCTGTTTACACCTTGTACCTGAAAAAGCAACAAAACAATCTTGACAATGATAAGGTAAATAAACCCATTACATGGGGCATTATTTGTATGGAAGTACCATTCAAGACTAATTTATAATATGCATACTTAATTTGTATACTAACCGGCTTAAGACCCAGCTTGCTCATGATTTTTCGTGCCTTCTTTTCTCCTCTGGATTGCTTCGCTTTAGAGACTATGTCAATGCCAGCAATTGGGTTAGTGATTCCACCTGCACCTGGAGCACCTGAATAAACATTATACTTTCAATTAATAAATAACTTAGTAATGTTTGGTGGTTTGGTGGCTTTAAGGGTGAGGCGTTTGCCATAAATTTCAAAGATGCAACTGAATTTAATCCTTGATGGCAACAATTGAAATTGTTAATTGTGTTAATTTAATACATTCTCAGCAATGATGAAAATTATTGTAAGAAAATAAATAAGTAGTTCGAACTTGTGAAGTCTGCCAAGATATACTAGGATAGCTTGGAGGGCTAATTGATCCATAACCCCCAAAAAAATGAGTTTGTAATTTTATTAAAGTGAGCAGGTTAAGTCAGAAGAAATAAATTTTATCCTTTTTTTTCTTCAATATGGCCATTGATAAAAATAATTCTTCAACTGCCGTGGTATATAATAACACAAAAATACTTTGATTCATATCTAAATCCCCATAATTATCAACTTAATATCAAGAATAATTTATATAATTACATAGATTTGAAAAAATTATTTCCAATAATTTATAAGTCCAAACCTGCATCTTCAAGTTCAGGGATAGTGTCATCTGAATCACTATCAGAAGATGCAGTCTCCTCCTTGCGTTTTTCAGTCATTGATGCAGTTGCTTTATCCAATTCGGTGAGTTCTGGCATTTTGAGAATTCTTCTTTTGGTGATCTTCAATGGATGTTATAAGCCCTATAATTTTTAAGTAAAAATTCATTAACAAGTTTATTACACTGATACTGCATGTACCGTGTATATGAATAATACTAAAGGCAACATACTATTGTACATCAAACAATGGCATTTTAATTAAAAATAATATTTATTGAGTAAAAATAATACATTTACATATTAAAGTTCAGAAATAAAAGGAACAGTTGAAATAAGCAATACAGAAGTATTATGTTTATTTAACGGAGCCTAAGCGCGCAATGATGGGCGATAGAATTTTATTTTGCCGGTCACACACAAAAATTAATGAAGAGATTCTTAGTAATATTCCCCAAGATAAGAAAAGGGAATGTCTTGTGCGATTAAACACCATGATTTCACACAATTAGAACGATTTAATACCTTCTTATCAGAACACTTTAACCGAAAAGAGACCAAAAAAGACAGTCGAATTTAATCGATTTGACACTTTGACAGAAACTAAGAAGATATTTTTTTATTGAGGCTTTAGCTACAAGGCCTTGAGCCAAAATGAATACGTCAGAAACTCAGAAATATCATCAGTGTTGCAAACATTAAAATCTAGCTCCCGTTTGTTAGCTTTTCTCCAATAAAACCACGACAACTCACTTAGTTAACTGCTTAATCACTATGTTCGTTGTTTAATTTCACTCCTAAATTGTATTTAATACTTTATAACACACTATACTTTACTTTCACAAAGAAGACTATATATTAATTTAACTTTACTCACAACCTTTAGAATCACCTTATTTCACAATAGACTTGACTATTATAACCTTCTCAGCACCACTGTTCGTAATCAACTGCCGCGAGCGTCAAGTGTACGCGCTTTTATATTGTGACTCAATTCTAGAATTAATGTAGGTAGTTTGAAATAGATTCATATTAATATTAATTGTGAAGATTGCTAAGTAATATTGCATAATGATCATTTATCTAACGCTCGACCAATCCTGACACTAGACGCGTCCCCGCGTAAAAACAGTACCAAAGATATTAGGTTTTAAATTAATAACTCGTAACTCTAATTACAAATTTTTTTCCACCGACTAAATAGCACAATTCGACATCGGTTTTCTCTTTAACTTTAATGAATGCCATTGCATATAACGGTCCACGCTGATATCATTCAGTAACAGTAGATCCTTTTGATACGTTCGTATGTCTTTGCAAACCCAAAATGACCGTTATTGTCATGATTCATTTTTAGTATTTGCCATCTTACAGACTTAGGAACCACCCAGAGTAACTTTACGGTATCGTTCTTTTGATGATTCTATAAGGCTTGCCATTTTTAATGTAAAATTATGCCTAATTTCAACAATATGCACGCTTCAAAAAGTGCATAATATTTTGTTAAAACTTGTAAGTCTCTTCAACAGGATTTTACCCTCTAAAATGAGTTGTCAAACCTTAAGAGTTAATAACTATAAAATAAATCGAAAAATTACAGAAATGTCGCTTTTCCTCGGTTAGCTTGTGCAGAGGTTTGGCTATATCTGCAAAGTTCTTCACAAATCGCCGGTAATAGGAGCACAAACCCAAAAATGCTCTAACCTGCGTCATGTCTTTTGGAACCGGCCAGTCCCTGACAGCGGCGATTTTCTCTGGATACGTGCGGATACCTACTTACGATACTACATACCCCAAAAATTTAACTTGCCATTTGAATAGTGAACATTTCTTCGGACTCAACTTGAGGTTGGCACTCTGAATCTTCATGAGCACGCGTTCCAGGTTTTGAAGGTGTTCCTCAAACTTACGGCCTACGATGATGATGTGATCCAAGTAGACCAGACAGACATCGCCAATTAGCCCGGTAAGTACAAGTTCCATCAACTTTTCAAACGTTGCTGGAGCATTGCACAACCCAAACGGCATTACTTTAAATTGCCACAGACCCTTTCCCGTCGAGAACGCAGTTTTCTCCTTGTCCTTAGGGTCGATTTCAACTTGCCAGTAGCCACTTTTTAGATCCAGCGTGCTAAACCACTTTACTCCTGTAAGCATGTGTCCAGCGTGTCATTAATTCTTGGCAAGGGATAGCTGTCCTTCTTTGTAACATCGTTCAGAGGGCGGTAGTCAACACAGAACCGCATGCTGCCATCCTTTTTCTTTACCAGCACCACGGGTGAACACCATGGACTGGATGAAGGTTCAATAACACCATCCTTCACCATTCCCTCAATCATGGTTTCCACTTCCTTTTCACGTGCTACCGGCAATCTTCTTGGCCGCTGACGGATAGGCAATTCTTCTCCTGTGTTTATTTTGTGTTGAACTAAGCCAGTTTTTTCTATGTTAGCATCGTTTGATGAGAATTCATCGGCTTACTTGAGTAACAACTTCTTCGCCTTGACCATTTTGTTCGGGGAGAGAACGCTGCGACAGTCTTCCAAAAGTGTGGTCATTCTCGTTTGTGAATCCTTGCTGGTGGCCCCACTCGATAGATATTGGCACCGACGCAACCAATCCACTTTCTCACAAGTACCAACCAGTGTGCCTTTTACCACCACGCCACGCGATTTTTAAGCTACGCACGAAGGACGTGTTCCAGGTGAACGTCGCCATACCTCGCCTCCAATGCCTCAAGGAGCTACTCATAAGTCACTTCCTCACCGAGAGCTTCCAGAAAAATTAAGGCCTGGTCGTGCAGGCCTAGTGTGAGAGCAGTCATGGCCTGACTTTTATTCCAGCCGTTCGCCTTTATAACGACTTCAAACTGGATTTTGTAAGCTGACCAGGAAGAAGTCCCATCAAACGGTGGCACTATGAACCCACGTAGCGAAGGTGTTGTAGCTACTACGAGAGCTGTAATTCCATCCCCAAGTTTGAGGTCGTCCAGCGTTTTCTTCACGTCAGCCATCACGTTGTCAACCCGATTGTTCACTTGGTCGATTCGGGTTTTAGCTTTCTCAATTCGGGTTTCAGCTTTCGCGATTTGGGTTTCAGCTTGCAACAGGCGGTTGTCATGCTTAACAACCCGATCCTTCACCTCCTTTATCTCCTTCCCGAAGGTAGCGTGAAGGTCCTTCATGAGGAGCATCTGCTCTTCCAACCGTCGGGCATGTTCTTCTTGTCCGCCCCGCAGCTGCTCTTCCAGACGACGGACCTGTTCCTCTTGTCCGCCCCGCAGCTGCTCGTTCAACTGACGGACCTGTTCCTCCTGTCGGCGAGTCTGCTCCTGCAGCATTATGCGGGATCGAACCCGGTTTGCTCGCGTATTGCGAAATTTACAGCGAGCGCTGCCATCTGAGCTACCACGGCTCTCTCTCCCTCTCTCTGTCTCTCTCTCTCTATGTATATATATATATATATATATATATATATATATATATATATATATTTTTTTTTTTTTCCTTTATATATATAAAGTACGTGTCACGTTGTTTGTCCGCGATGGACTCCTAAACCACTTATCCGATTTTGATCAAATTTGCACAACGTGTGCAGTTTGGTCCGAGAAATAGGATAGCTTACATAGCTGGCGATGATGACGTCATCGAGGTAAATGAATAAGAAGTCAAGACCTTTGAGAACCACTGAATTCATAAATCTTTGGAACGTTTGGGCTCCGTTTCTCAATCCGAAGATCATGCGCGGAAACTGAAACAGTCCAAAGGGTGTAATAATGGCAGTCTTCTCAATATCCGATTCTAGTTCTGGAATGAAATGATATTATGGTTTCAAATCTAATCTGGTAAATATTTTTACTTAAGTAATATATCGTGCCATTCATTTTTACTGTCTATGGTTCTAATAGACGACTCATCGTTACTATTGTACGCTACAATCGTAGCGAGAACATTTAGATGCGTATGTGGCCGTGGAAGGAAAAGGAGAGATCTCCCGCCGGCCAAGGTGTTCTGCCCGGGGAGCGGCCAACACTCCGTCTGATAGTTCGGAGATGTTCTATATATACTGTTTCTGATTCGGAATGTTGATATCCTGATTTAGGCTTCGGTGTATTTCGCTTGTGGCGCGACGACAGCGCCGCCACATCACCCCCTTGCTCAGACCGGAGGTCGATAGTGCAGTCCATATCATATTAGTCTGTGGTGCAGTCTCGTTATCGACGAATGTGAAAGTGCCAGGAGATTGCCTTGTAGTCTGCGGTGAGTCGAGAAAAAGGCAAGTAATCTGCGAGAGTGCCGTGAAGCAGAGGCGAGCAGTAAGGCTCAGAGCCGTGCCGAACACTGTATGGCGCAGAGAGTAGCTTGAAGGAACATGAAGCATTATTATTCCAGTGCTGCGATGAACCTTGTGAAGCTAGATAACTTGCAGGATATGAAGACTGCAGATGATATCTGCTCGGGAGCGAATGGGTGGGGTACTCTATGACGATGATGAAGCTTGAAGTTTCCGAAAGTTGTTGGTTGCGTGTTCAGATCACGTCGGGGTCACCACTGTGGCCGTGGAAGGAAAAGGGGAGATCTCCCGCCGGGCAAGGTGTTCTGCCCGGGGAGCGGCCAACACTCCGTGTGATAGTTCGGAGATGTTCTATATATACTGTTTCTGATTCGGAATGTTGATATCGTGATTTAGGCTTCGGTGTATTTCGCTTGTGGCGCGACGACAGCGCCGCCACACGTAACTTGATCTCATAATTTACGTGCATGTAAATCTACCAACAGTTTATAATGGCTTAGAAAGTCGGCGCCGATTATAGGCGCCGACTTTCATTATAACTTTCTTTAAACGTCCGCTATAATAAAAGACCATTTAAAGGCTCTCCTTAAATTAAAATTTAAATCTGCAGTACGCATACCATAGGTTCTGATTTCCGTTTCATTCGCCGCATATAACTTATAATTATCACTCGCGATAGGTAACGACGCACACTTTTTCCCACAGGAATCACAGATACGTTGGCACCCGTATCGATTAAAAACTTTAGTCCGGTATTTTTGTCGTAAACGCATAGGTTTTTATTATGCAAACCGATACATGCC